TATACAGTCAAATTTTGCTCAGTTGACTGGAAAATTCATCTGTCAATCCCATGCATTTGAGATCTTTTGAACTTGTTGAATAGGTCAAGATAATGTCATTGAGTCCTTGATCCCATGGTTGAACTTGATTTTCCACTGGCTAGGTCAAATAGTCAAAAATTGCCTTTGTACAGTCAAAACCCTAAAAATGACCATTTTGCCCCTTTGGTGATCTGATCAAATTTCTTGTGGAATTATGGTCCAAACTTGATCAAATGGTTCATATGAGTTCATAATGTTGATGTGGGTCAAAATTCATGAGGTTTGACTGTAGATTGGTCACAGTTGACTTTTTCCCCAATACAGTTGATTTCTAGGTCAACTGTCCAATTGACTGGGCAAAAATTTGATTCAAGGCTTGAAACTTGGTATGGGAAAACTTATAAGTCCAACATGAAGTATGAAAGTCACTTTGGGCATTGTAGGTCAAAATATCCCTGTGCAAACTCAAACCCTAATTTAGGTCAACAGTGCAAGGAGGTGTTTTGAGCAGAGCAAACCCTAGCTTGGTCTTGAGTTCCAAGAGTCTTGTGATGAGAAAATGTTGATAAAATGATATGGCAAATTTTGGGGTACAACAATTTCCCCTGTTAAATCTTCTTGAACCTGAAGAGTTAGATTGGCAAGTTTGCCTTTCGTGACTCGAAGGTAAAAGAGGATTGGACACTAGAGTGCCCGTAAATTTGCACTCGTCAAAATATTGTTGAGGGAATGGGATTAAAGATGCCATTTGGAGATGGTAGAATCTTGCTGGAGATGGGCTTAAAGATGCCATCCAAGAATGTTTGTTAAACTGCAACGTTATAGGTCAGAAGAATGGGCATCAAAATGGTATCCGTGTCTGGAATGCATTTGAACTATATCTGGAGAGTGAGTCTGTATGAGCAAAGGAATGGAGTCCGTGTCTGGAGCGTATCCGAGCTGTAACTGTATTTGATTTTTGAAGGAACATCAGAATGACTGTCGTGTATGGAGTGTATATGTATTCTGAATGGGTAACAGAGAAAAATCTGTGTATGGAGCAACTGTGTGCTGAGGATAAGTTCTGAATGAGTGGCAGAATGGCAACCGTGTCTGGAGTGTATCTGAAACTGTAACTGGGATCTGTATAAGTGACAGAATGACTTCCGTGGCGACTGCACTAGGGATAATCAAACTTCTGGTGTAAGGGCCAGAATGGTGTCCGTGTTTGGAGTGTATTTGAACTTGAAGTTGATAGTTGAATCTTAATGAAAGATAGAATGGCTTCTGTGTCTGGAGCGTATCTAGTCTGTATCGGATTGCTGAAGTCTGAATGAGTAGTAGAATGACCGCCGTGTCTGGGGTGTATCTGTACTGTATTTTGACTTGAAATTCTGAATGAGTAATAGAATGACCGCCGTGTCTGGGGTGTATCCATACTGTATCTGAATAATGGTTAATGATAGCCTTTTAATCTTATCCTGAAAAGGGTAAAATATTAGCTAAAACACAAAGTTATGTTGCATGATATGTATGATGCAATGAACTGTATTTCATCAATGTTTATGCTATTATGAATGTAATGGATGTGCATGTAAGCTGAGTAGCTGTCTTGCTGAGGAAAATAAATCCTTGATAATTGGAGATAATGAAATCTTTGACTGTTGCCGGGGGAAGTGAATCCTGACTGATGCTGAGGATTCAAAAATCTTTGATTGTTGAAGATGAGAAATCCTCGCTGACTGCTTGGGGATTAAAGATCTTTGATTGTTGAGAATGAGAAATCCTGGGAGCACTGCTGGAGATTGAAAATCCTTGGTGACTTGTGGGGATTTAACAGGAGCTTTGACAATTTCTGCGGGGGATGAGAATCCTTCATGACTTTCCTGGGAAATAAGGAAAACTCTGAAAATCTCTACCGGGGAGTTAAAACCTGGGAGGCTTCTGCTGGAGAAATGAGACCGAGAATCTTCGATCTGTTGGGAAATAACTTTGTGGGGAGAATGTTTACTCGCCCGGTGAAATCAGGAGCTTGGGTTGTACGCCAATCTACTGGGGAAGTTGGGGAACACTGAATGGTTCTCACTAGGGATTGATAGTTGGAAATTTGACTTCGCTGGGGAAGAAGGTTTTAGAATATTCTAACTCCGCTAGGGATATGTATTTCAGGGTTTTGGGGCTCCAATGGGGATCGGGAGTTCAGAGACTTAACTCTGATGGGAATTCTGAAACTTAACTCCGCTGGGGGATAAAGTTTAAAATACACTGACTCCACTGGGGATCTTGAAATTTAACTCCGCTAGGGATGTATACTTCACAGTTTTAGCTCTATTGAGGATCTGAATGACATACTGTGGGGGATTTCTTCTGGAATAGCACAAAGATATCTTCCTACACCTTCAACCTATCAGTAATTATCCTTTCTCAATTTCGTTTTATTTGTAAGCAGTGATTATATTCAAATGCATATGCCTATTTAACAAAATATTGGACGTTTTCAAATAAAACATAAGTGTAAAAAAGAATGAAAGGCAAGCAAATTTCTGCACTTTGAAGTATCTTTGTATTAACTTTTGTGAGTATCTTTGTACAAAGGAGACAAACATCCTAGTAAGAGAATGTTGTCGTAAAAATTAAAAAAATTTATACAAAAAAGAAAAATGGCTATGTGTTAAAATTCCATGGGGTTCCCATTCTGCTATAGCCTTCACAACTCTGAGTATCTTGTCCATTCGCTGCTTCGTCCGCCGATGATTAGATTGATCAGAAGCTTGGAGCTTGTTGATGAAGAGATTGTTCTTAAAGTGATCAGACGAGACATTGGAGAGTTGAATGTTGCACTCTTTTCGTGATGATAACTATGTTGTTTTATGGAGATTCTTACTATGGTTTATTTGAGTTTAATAAAGTGATTTCATGAGACATATATAAGTTGTGAAACATGTTTACTTTTATAATTCCGCTGCAATGATATTCTAAGTAAAGGTGAGCATGCGATGATAGACGTTGAATGTCTTATTATATAAATATGTGTTATAGAGCATGTATGTTTGATGTCGAGTAACATCCAAAATGTAATTATATGTTTTATGTATGCTTTACTTTATAATAATAAGCGCATGACTTTTTGGGTGTTACGTTGGTGACTGAGAGACAATTGATGATCTTCTAGGGAACTGATTATGTGCATATAGAGGATGAGTTGGAGACAATGTATAATTTCGAATATATGATTGATAAGCAAGACTGGAGTCTCATAGAGCGATAATGGGATGTTGACGATCCAGTAAACTATGATCGACTGTGGAGGGACCATTGTTGTTATGATATGTGAATTATATATGAGTTACGTTGTTGCCACTGCATATGTATATGGAGTAGGATTTATAACGATCTTGATTACGTCATATAATTCAGATTGTATGCTCGTGAACCACATGACTAGATTTCTCATGAGGTAGAGTATGACCGTCAATGATCCATACATCACACTTAACAATTGATGACTACCTTTGCAATCCATGGCCTACGAGTCTCATGGGACAATTAAACTCCCAACTTATTTTCATATGTAGGGGACTATACATAACTCAACTCATGTGGGGGGAATAGGATAAACCAAATCCATATGTTATGCTTATGGGAGGGTCTTGAGTGATCGATATGAGTGAATCATATATAAGATATGTGATTGTTGACACTTTATTGATTTGATAGAGTATTAATGGTCACAATTCATAAACGCCCTAATCGAGGTTTATGTAATAACACATCATCTCTATCACTGCCAATTTAGATATTGGATTATTTGATATTGGTTGGTGAACCGTGATGAACATGTATATTATTGCAATATACAAATTGAGCACGCGAGACTAAATAGATGACCCAAATGAGTGATAGTTAGTTATTTAGTTGGTAGTCGATCAATCAGGTGGGATGAATGTGAGTTATCCTGATTGGCGATTCATGTATACCTTAACCTGAGTAGAAGAGTAGTGAGGGATTTAATAGTTTAGACCGGAAACCCACTGAGATTAGAAACTCTCTCCAATGTTGGTTGTATTATTTTTTCAAGTCAACATATATTTAAATTTGACTTTGACAATGAGGATTCGATGAAATATATTTTTGTTATGTTAAAGATTTATCAGATCGATGACATATCCGTTATTATGATTGTATTCTCGTAAAGTTTTAATCTAGTTTATTTCCAGATTTATACATTGAAATTGTAAAATTTTAATCAAGTACTAAATATTAATACATTTGATTATTATTTCAGAGATATAACATGCAGGTATTATAGCCCAATTTTTTTGTACATTATTATTCAATAATTTCACAAAATATTTATAATTAAATAATCACTTATAAATTCTATTAAAAAATAATTCAAAATAATAAAAAAAATATCATGTCAGAATAAAAATAATTTAAAAATTAAATAAAATTTATATTATTATAAATAATATTATAAAATTAATTTTTGTTTTTTTTAAATATATGACATGACAATTATAATATTGCACAACATAAATCAATGTCATGTCATAAAAAGATGTCAACTAATTAAATATGAAGGATATAAAAAAACCAAAAAAAAAAATTTAATTAGAGAAATAAAAAGTTGATTTTTTAAAAGACTAAGTTAAAAAGATTAAAATAAAGATACCAAAAATACAATAATCTAAAGCTGACTGGTAACAAGAGATGAGAATCATATTAAAAGGTGAAACAACGATGTCGAGTGAATGTAAGAGATCAAATTCTTAAAAATACAAGTAAGAATATCTTTAAATTAAACTGCATTCAATTATTATAGATATTAAATATTGACCCATGCAACTTATTGATAAAAAAGATTGATACAATATTCAAAATTATTAAAAATCATATTATTCTCATACATTATTAAAAATAAAATTTGACATAAAAACATGTAAACAATAACGTACATAAGTTTATTGCTTACACAACTCAATCAAAAATAAATAATTCTAGTTCTTGCCACCAAAAGCAGCCTTAAGCTTCTGAATCTGTGCAACATCAAGTAAAGTAGTCTGTGAAAGAACATGAGTTGATAAATCATTGCCAAATAAAAGTAAATCAAGTGTTTGCACACTAGGGTTTGAGCTACTAAAAGCTGCAAAAGCAACAGCTTTTTTAGCACCAGTGTTTACTAGAAAATGCAATTGTCCTTTTGGAACAACTATAACATCACCAGGTTTAGCATCTTTCAAGAATACTTTTGTTGGTGTAATAAATCCAATATTCACTTGGCTTTCAACAATGATAACTAATTCTGTTGCATCAGGATGAGAGTGCAATGGTACACTTCCATTTACACCCAAATCTGCTCTTACTGTAGAGATACCAAGTCCATTAAGACCTGGTAAATTGTCCACATTTACGAAGGTTATTCCAAGATTAAAGATTTTTGAAGCGTTTCCAGCTACAAAGCCAGAGAAGACAAAATCATCTATTGTTACATCTTTTTCTGACTTGCATGGATATCCTAAAGGAGTGTTTGGAAGTGATAAATCTGCTACACAAAAATCATTGTTAACAGAAGTAATATAGGGGATATATGATGAGAGAAGAGCAGCAAATAAGAGAATAATGTGAATAATCTTCATCTCTTTGAAATTGGATGTGAGATAAGAGAATAATGAGATTGATTGTTATTTATAATGATATTCTTACATTGTGGAGATAATAAAACAGTTTAGTTGTGACCATTATTAGGCAAAGAAAATAAAATTCGACAACCTAGAAATGCTAATTCTTCCAATGTCCAAATATTTTATTGATTTAGTTAAATAATTATCAATAAATATTTGATTTTTTCTTACAACTTTTGGAATTTTACCTTTAGAAATATTTTATTTTAAATGCTAATTATCTATTCTATTTGATAAATGATATTTTTAATTATAATATCCCTAAGTTTTTCTCATACACTTTCCTATATCACATTCTTGCCATTATTGGAATATGCTAGTTAAGAAAATGATTTTATTCTATATTAAATTGTTGTGATAGTTTATTTATGAAACAAAAGTATGATTTCATTTATACCCATAATATTTATACTCATTATATTTTCATTTAACAATTGTCAACTCATTTGTATTCTATAACTATTTGGTATTAAGTAATTTGTGAATTGTAGACATACTTTCTTGAATATCCATAACCACTAGGGATTCTCGCGTGTTGTTCATTGTCGGTAACAAATCACAAATGCATATTTTGGGTATCATAATTTTTACAATTATTAATAGAGAGCAGTTTACTATTAACAGAGCAAATTAGAGTTCCAGTTGAGACTTCAAGAGTTCATAGCATTGTGAAACGAAAAGATTGAGTATATATCCATTTTTCAAGTTGGTAATCGAACGTTTGGGTGGGTGGTTTCTTGGCATTACAGGTTCCGTGTTGTTGTTAGTTTGAAAGTTCGAGTTTATGAACATGGTTTGATGTTAGAAATTGTGTTGAATGCGGTAGGATAGTGATGTTTATGAGTTTTGTTTTGTGCAGGTTATTGGTGGTTAGAAAACAAAGAGGCCATGTATGGTAAGTTTGGCTGGCTGCATGTTATCTCACAAACTGCTCTCTTCCTTCAACACATGATACATGCAAAGAGTCCCACATCGACTGGGGTAAAAATATCAGCTACGTTTATATACCAATCACACATGGTAAACATTATATTGAAAACAACTTGATAATTTATGGGTCTTTGGTGGGAAAATCCTCATTAAACTCATGAAAATATAGTTGATAATTTATGGGTCTCTTTGGTGGGAAAATCGTCATTTTAAACTCATAAAAATATAGTTTTAGGAGTATATTCATAATCTTATTATTTTGAAAGTTTTATTCTGAATAATGAAGCATGAACTCTTAATTTCTATAATTGTAATCTCACAATTGTGTGTTATAAGATATAATTTAATGTTAGCAATATAGTAGAAACAATCAAGTAAAACTAAGTTGGAGTTAGTTGTGTTTTCATAGTATGTAAATCATTATTCTACAAAGTTGAATACTCCAATTTTTTTATAATGTATGTTTGTCGTCTATAAATAGGCATGCTATGATCTAAGCTATATAACTTCACTTCAATAATATTTTATTTTATAATATAATTTTTCTCTCTATTATCTCTCTCCCTCTCTCATTCTTTTTTTTTCTTTTTTTCTTGAAATCTTAATTGTTCCATCAGTTTCAACAAACTGATACCAATGATCCCAATTGTGATTCAGAGTGAATTTGTAATGGCAAATAAAGTCACAACATCAACGCAATTTCCATTGAATTTATTGATTTTCAAAGGTGAGAACTATGAAATGTGGGTTGCGTATATGAAGGTCATCTTCGGATATCAAGATGTGTCTGAAATCGTGAATGATGGAGAACCGACATTGAAGGCAAATGTGGATGATATTTAGAAGGTTGCGCACAAGGAACAAAGGAAGAAAGATGAAAAATCTCTTTTCTTGATTCACCGGTGTGTGGATCCAAACATGTTCGAGAATATCACTGAAGAAGAAATATCAAAATGAGTGTGGAACAAGTTGAAGAACTTGTACGGTGGAGATGAAAAAATGAAGAGGGTGAAATTATAGACGTTGAAAAAGTTGTTTGAGATAACACAAATGAAAGGAGGTGAATCAATTGTTGATTTCTTCTCAAGATTAATGTTACTCGCCAACAAGATGAATATATGTGGTATATCGATCAGCGATTAACATAAGATTGAGAAAGTGTTGAAATATCTAACTGCATATTTTGATTATGTTATAGTGTCTCCAAATATCTAGATAAGATGAAGTTAAAAGAACTTCAAACTTTATTAGAGGCTCATGAATGAGACTGAAGCAGAGGAACCCAAAAAGGAAAAAGTGATTGAACATGTGAAATACCCCAATTTTACCCCACCTATTCTAAATTATCTGACTATGCTAAAAAAGTTTCATTTGAGAATCATTAGCATTTGCATAGGCATTAGTTCATCTATTCATCATTTTAGCTCAAACTTCAAATATATCCTTTCATTCATCCATGCATACATTTAGTATTTCATTTTTTAAATTTCTTTCAAAGGTATCCATCAAATTCATTGGATAAATAAAAAAATGATGATTTAATATTATTATTATTATTATTATTATTATTATTATTATTATTATTATTATTATTATTGAAATAGTTAATAAAAAATCTCTTTTTTTTTCATAATAAAATATAAGTTATAATAATAATAATAAATTATTAATACAAATGACCTTTCAAACAAACACAATCGAAGTTCAACTCCATCTCAATAAAACCAAAGGAAAATACAAAACCAAGCTCTTTCCTCCCAACTCACTTCTAAACACACTCTAAACTAACACAAATCCTAACTAACTCTATATTCAATCTCTACCCTTCTTAACACCCTCACACGAATCACGATATTAAAGACTCTCATTCATCTAATCCTAACAACCACTAACCAACTTCTAACAAACTAAAACCTCTGTTAACTAACTTTTTGACTCCAAAATTTAAGTATAAAATAATTCATTCACCATTTGGAAGAAGATTCCATCATTCACTCACTTTTACAAAAATTCACAAAGAGCTAATACATAAAGATTCACCAAAGTGCAAAACAAAATAATTGAAAGAGGAATATTTGAGCCATGCAACTAGGGGCGGAAAAGAGAAGGGGAAAGAGAGCTACAATTTATATGATCCTTAAGAGTATTAATTAAGAAACAAATTGAGTTTAATCTTCTCAAAAACAGTTAATATTTAGTCAACAATGCCATATATGTGTGAAAAAAGAGCTTCTTCCAACATTTTCTTGTTTCGTCGCTTCTGATTTTTTCTTTTTGTTTCAAGTAAGCAACAACATCACATCTTTAATAATCAATATTGCTTGTGGATTTCATTAGTTATGGTTCAATGAGGTAGAGTAAGACAACAAGACAACCACGGTGAAATGCCTTTTCGCTGCTGCCCGCCATGTGTTTGATAAAATTCTCCAACTAGACATCTTTTGTATTGAGTAGAGGAGAAACACAATTTTTAATTGTCTAATGGTTTCTACTCAAATATGAGGTTTACATTTTCCACTCCGAGGACTCCATTGTTGCCTCGATGGTAGAGATGGGAGCAAAGGTATTTCTCGTTTGGCGTCTCATCTTAAGATGTTACACCTATGTAGTGACGAACAGAAAAATATCATACGGAATGTGATTGAGAATGATTGTGATTTATTTATGACATTGGAAGAGTATTTGAGGGTGGTTTAGCAATGGCTATATGGAAAGTGTATGAGCATTTATGCCATGAGTCGGGCATACCATCATCCTGATGGTCTTGTTCGTGCCACTCATGGGACAGGAGGGGTCTGAAGTCACATTGTGGGTATTGTTAAACCACCATCCTCAATTGTCTCTGATAATCTTGAAGCAAACGAGGAGCTTGTTTTGGAATACAAGGTTGTTAGAGAGGATTCTTACCGCACCTATTTTCATTGTGAAAAGTATACCTCTAAGCTTTTGTCTTGCTTTCTCTCAAACATTGAAAGATGCTCTTTACAAGGTGGTTGCTGATCCGGGATTAGTACATGCATGGGTTCGATTGTCACTTCTCCCTCATTGTACATTACAGGTGGTTAAGACTCATAATAGGCGGATCGTAGGCCGGGAAATCAGAAGTCCTTGCAACAACACGATATTTTGGAGTGTTTAGCTACTTGGAGAGACGCGAATGGTCTTACCAAGTTAGTTGATAATGTGTTGGGGAGCTCAGAGAAAAGTAACTCGGGTTGTGGGGGTGTTCATACTCAGGAGAAAGATAAGAAGATGAGCTCTAATGTCAAGCAATGCCTCCGTAAGGTTGCAGATGGCCATTTCACAGCGGCTGTAAAAGTGTTAGGGTCATCCGGTATGACCTCCTATAATGAACATACAATGAAAGCTTTGGAGGCTGAGCACCCGCACATAACACCTCCCTCCATACTGACCACCTTATTCTTAGAATCTCCCCTAGTTACTGATGCAGATACTATCTTCAAGTGTATTAAATCCTTTCCCAAGGGGACGTCATATGGTAGAGATGGTTTGTGTGTTCAACATATTTTAGATGCATTGTATGGAAAGTTTTCTACTATGGTGAAAGATCTTTTACACGTAATCTCTCTAGTAGTTAACTTGTGGCTAGGAGGAAGATGTCCCATGAGTTTGGCAGAGTTTGTTGCCTCTGCACCATTGACACTGTTATTAAAGCCTGGTGGTGGGATACGAATAATTATTGTGGGTTCTATTTGGAGGCGGTTGGTATCCAAGGTTGGTATGAAAGGGATCAGTAAAGATATGGCGCGGTACCTCGGTGACTTTCAGTTTGGGGTTGGGAAATCGGGTGGTGTTGATGCCATTTTGCATAGTGCCAGCAGGGTGTTAAGAAAACGACATAGAGACGGTTCATGGGCAATGCTCATTATAGATTTCTCGAATTCTTTCAACATGGTAGATCGATCAGCCTTATTGCGCGAGGTGAGGGTGAGATGCCCATTTATTTATTTGTGGGTTGAGTTTCTTTATAGCCAAGTAACAATGTTGTACCTTGGGGATGAACA